TTGCACAAATGTCTAGACCTTCCAGTCAGGCTGATATGACACAGATTACAGGTATCCTATCCCAACCAATCACAGAAGACAGTTAGCCATAACACAGAAAGAATTGCAAATTTTCGCTGTTACTGGGATTTGAACTCTAGACCTGCCACTTGGGAGTTGACAACCTATAATTTTGAAATTTCTTTTACAATATTTTAAAATTATTATATTATACAAAATCTTTTAAAATATTTTATATTTATAATTTTGCTAATATATGTTATTTATATTCTTTTATTCTCGATTTATCTAATAATATTAATTTATATAGATTATCTTCTTTAAGTTACAATATAACAGATTAGCATTTTTAAAAGATTTTGTTACTTCTAGAAAACCTTTTATAATTATTCTGTGTGATTTTTTGTATTATAATCATATTGACTATATTAACTATTTGGATAATGACAAAGTTCTTGCATATAAGCATGGTTATTATAACTATTGTCTAAAAAAATACTAATTTAAATGCTTAATATGTTTTAATTATCTTTGAAACAAAATTAAAAAAATATTAATGCTTTAAAAATAAGTTTAATAAATACATTAAATAAAAAAGATTTTAATAATAAAACTAAAGGCATAATCAAAGATGATTTGAATAATATTAATATAAAAATATATAATATATCAATAATAGAGAATTTATTAGAATAAGCAAAAAAATCATTTTATAAATTGTAATATTTTTTATTAATAAAAAATTAGAATTTATATATATAATTATACAAATTTAATATCAAAAAAATACTATTACAATATTAAATAACATTATCACAATATTATTATAATTATTATAATATATTTAATACAAAATTATTATAATATTACTATTATACTTAGAAATGAACTAAATTAATTATATATAATTATTTAATATCAATAATTTAAAGTTCTTGAATTTGTATACAATAACTATTATATAGTTTATATCAAAGAAATATCATTCTTAATTATGTAATTATTGTATAATAATCAATTTGTATAATAATTAATTCTTAAAGATAGTGATCCTAGTATAGTAGTTGAGTTGTTATTCATCAAGTAGCAGGTCTAAGGTTCAAATTCCATCTATAATGAAATTTGGAAATTAATCTGTATTATAAAAAAACTGTCTTTTGTTAATCAGTTGGATTTAGATATCTGTAATCATGAATACAACCAATCAAGTTTTATTTATCATTGAAAGCCTGAGGCATTTATACAAAATGTAACATTATATATATATAGAGAAATATTAATAACTGATATCATATAAGACTTTGATGCAAACCCATAATAAGACTATCAGATGTAGAAAACTAAAAAACTGAGAAGACAAAAGCTTACTTGGAAATTTCTGAGTAAAAAGGTAACACAAATCTTTGATAATGCTATTGGACTAATAAAAGTTTAGAAAATTCTAATAAGAAATAAACAAATGTAACTAGATAAAAAATTATATAAAGAAACATATAACCAACCAAGTTGCCAGAATTGACAGAGAAAAAAGATACTAAGGTATATTACATTGAACTATCTAGATTAGAAGTTTGAAGAGTCTATTAAATTCTAAGTTAGATAGTAAAAGGATAAAGAAAAGAAGTCAAAAAGATAGGTACCAGGATTTGTGTAAACTTTACAAGAGTAAAAATAGTATAATGTAGCAATTAAACAGATAATCTCTATAACTGCAAATATTAGATAACTATAATATGTTACATAAAACTAGATTAGCTATATATAAGATATAAAAGGCTTTAGTAATAATGCTTTTAAGAATATATTATATAAAATAAAGTATAAGATTCTAAGAGTATGGATAAAAGTATTTAAACCTTCTTGATTGACATTTGTATTAAAGATAATCTAGTAATACAGTAGAAATTGCAGTACAAAAAGTTTAAATAAGCAATGCTTCTAGTTAGGTTACAGGTATAACAACTAGTATAAAACTATTAATAGACTACTTAAATTAGACACCAAAAGTATATGTATAATTAGATATACTCTCTAATATAAGGTGACTTTTTTAAGACTTCAGTCACAAGTCCCTATGTCTTAATTTACTAAATAAGATCCTAGTTCTGAAAGAGACTAATTTAATATTCAAAAAAAAAGTAATAATCAATTCTCATAATAATAAGTATATTATAATTATAATCTGTCAAAACTAATAACCTGTAAAAACTAATAAAAAATTAAATTACTATAACTGTTTTATAAGTCAAAACTAATAACCTGTCAAACCTAATAACTGATACTTAAAAATTAAATATTTATAAAACATCAAATTTGACAAGTAAAATAAACAGATTTGATTGGCTCAAATTAGCTTTCGTGTATCAAATTATAATATAAGAAATAAATCTAACCAATCATATTTGTTTATAGTTATATAGCTAATAGATTATTAGTATTTCAAAACTGATAACCTGTCAAAACTAATACAAAAACTTGCCACCATGCATATCAGTTTAGACAGGTTATACTGTGTAAGTAATCGTCCATCACTAATACAAAAATTCGCAAATTTGATTGGTTAAGGCATCATGCACGGTTGGAGCATCGTGTTACACAATTTCCTTATTCAGCAGTTTCTCTCCTCAACTGCAAAGGGAAAACCTGTAATTGTGAGTTTTCCGAAATCAACTTTATAGAAACGGACTTATCAGACATATGATTCATTATGTATTATAATCCATATCACTATGTATTATAATCCATATACTGTTTCTGAAAAGCGGAGTCGGAATTGCAGGTTTTCGCTTTCCAGCACTCATAAGTATGGTTTATTAACTAAATGGACACCATCAATTCGCTTCATTGATAATTTTCTCAATGGACCTTATCCATTGCCAACCCTGCCTTAAATTATATTATCGTTACCAATGTACTAATGTCCTGGATATTTATTTATTCTGATTATTTTATTCAAATTACTGAATTATAATTAAATCAAATTAAAATTTGGTTATGAACTAGTTAATCGTCAATCACCTGTAATAATATATATAGAATTGATATAATGCACCAACATGAAATAGTCAAAAAACAGCAGTAAAGCTTGGAATTTACCTTGTTTAATCAATAACATTTGTAGATAAAATCTTTACTTCGGTTACAGGTCTATATATAAAAATTTATAATTATTAATGAAATTTAAATTTAATTGATAAATCTTATAAAAGGGAATACAATCAATAATTTGTTCAGAAAACAGAGGAAAAAATTCTCATGCGTTTATTTTCAGTTATAAACATAAATAATAAGGGCTTAATAAAAATGCTTACCTATCATCGGAATCACATTTAACAAGTCCCATACGCTTGACAACTCTCATACCTTCACTCACCCTTCCAAAAATAGTGTGCTTTCCTATTTAGAATTTTTAGAACAAGATGCTATTAAATTGTAAAATTTATTTTATCTTTGCTTTAATGAAAAACAAGTATGAAAAAAAAGTATACCGTCTAACCACGGTGTAGGTGCCAATGTTATGAAAAACTTTAAAAATTATACATCGAATAAGATTATAATATATTGTATGAAAAATCAGGAGTAAGTAAGATTACAATTACCTGACTGCCATTTGTGTTTGTACCAGAATTTGCCATACTTAAAATGCCAGCACCCGTATGCTTTAATTCTGGATGAATCTCATCTTCAAAGTATTTGCTATTAATATAATCAAAAGTATTCATATGATTATAATAAGATTAAATAATAGCATCAAAAAAAAAAAAAAACTTGGAGAAATAATATAAATTGGAGTGTTACCCATAGATTGATGAACCACCACGACCGGTTCCAGTTGGATCACCACCTTGTATAATGAAATCCTAAAGATTATAATTTAATGAGCTCGCATATCAAATAGATCAGCTGTATAATTATGGCGCTGGACTTACCTCAATTATTCTATGAAACTGTAACAGTCAAAATTTTGTTAAATTATAATCTAAATTATTTAAAATAGTAGCACTGATAACAAATAAAGTCTTACAATAACATTATCGTAATATCCACGTTTTGCCTAGGAATAAAGAAAATCCATCAATGAACCGAATTGCCATATCGAATTAATTAGCAATAACAATAATAACAACGATAATAACGTTAAGAAACAAAATAAGTATACCAATTCATAAAAATTTTTACAAGTTTTTGGAGCGTGATCCCAGTATAATTCTAAAACGATACCTCCCTATGTTTTCATTATTAGCTTAAACAAAAAACCAGTCTTAATTGAAAACCTATTGAAAAATACAAAATTCACATATATCGCTTACCATAGAAGTATTAAGCACGACTGACCCTGACATCTTAAAAGCGAGGGACTGAGAAAAAGTTTTTCGATTTGATATAAAAGCAGCGCGATAGAATGTCTGCTATAATTAGCCAATAAAATTTCATATATTGACAACCAATCAGGGGTACCCTGCAATGCATGTAGATCAGGTTTTAAAATATTTAATACGAACACATGATCTTAGCATGACTGAAGTTCTATTTGATTGGCTGAAAATATGCAACCTGCTGATCCTAACTGTTAGACTGTGATTGGTCAGAGGAAATTCTATATCGATATAAATTATAAAATTTAAGTTCAAGGTTTGCCGCGGTTTAAGCTCGTGATTGAGGTTGTAGTTAAGCTTCGCTGGGTCAAAGCTTTGCCGTGATTAAAGTTTGTTGGGTCAAGTTTGCTGTAGTCAAGTTTTATCAGAAGTCTAAGTTGCTAAGTTTCGTCGTGCTCAAGGTTGAATTTTCTGTAATCAGAAAGTTTTGCCGTGGTAAAGTTTGGTCGTGTTCAAGTTTCGCCATAGTTAAATTTTGTCGTGACCAAGTTCGTTGTTGCCAAGTTTCACCATGATAAGCTTCGCCATAATAAATTTTGCTGTGATAAGTTTCTCTGTGACCAAGTTTCACTGTGGTACGTAGTAGGTTTTACAATAGATAAAGCAGTGTAAGCAATAATAGAAAGTCACTGATATTTTTACATAAATCAAAAATCTTAGTCAAATAAAAAAAGATTATGGATTTGTCACATAATCAAAGGCAAACCTCAAATAAAATAACAACCAAAAATTTTGGTCTTTGCTCAATTATTGATTGTATAAATACCAATATTAAATTTTGTACAATCACAGAATTGGTATATAAAAAGTGCTGTTTAAAAAAAACACTAGAAGAGTATCCTTACCTCAAAGTTAGGAAACAGCTCTGTCATTTACATTATTGTAAACTTGTGAAGCCAGATAGGCAACAGAAACATAAATCAAAAAAAAACCAATACATGTCTAAGAAAAAGTATTAAAACTAGTGAATCTTATACCAAATTATAATATATTTAATTTATTATGTTTTTTTTTTAGTTTTATTTTTTCTACAATATGATTATTTATTTATTTTATTTTTTTTGTTTATTTAATAGAACACATTTGCATTAAGTATAAAAATACTAACAAAAGCATTATATTATCAACAATATTAGGAATGTACTAGTTTGAAACTAAATCCAACAAAATTTAAATGCATGATTAAAACTATAAATTCTGGACTTAAAGGTTTTTTAGTAGCATGACAAATGTGATTATTTTTCAAAAATGTTTAGCTTATAATATAAGCAAAACCAAGAAATTGATTATTAGATTGTACTAAATAATAATAGATTTGCAAAATAAATTTGTTAATCAATATAAATTAAAAGTAAAGTTGTATTTAATAACATTAGATGCAATGTAGAAGACTGTTAATGCAATGTTAAGTCTTGGTTCTTTAGCATATGCTAAGACAATTGAAGTATATTAAAAAAAAATATATAATAAAAATCAAAAATTATTGTTTAAAAAAAAAATATATATATATTTGGATATTAAACAAGTCTTTTTTGAAACTAGAGTTTTATTCAGTAAATTAAAACATAAGAACTTGTGGCTGAAGTCTCAAAGAAGTCATCATATATTAGAGAGTACAACTAGCTATATATATACTTTTGGTGTCTAATTTAAGTAATCTACCAATAGTTCTATACTAGCTGTCATATTTGCAATTCAACTAAGAGCATTGCTTATTTAAACCTTCTATACTGCAATCTTACTGTGTTACTAAATTATTTTTGATATATATATTAGTTAAGAAGGTCTATATACTTTTACTTATACCCTTAGGACCCTATATCTTATTTTATATAATGTATCTTCCAAAGCATCATTACTAAAATCTTCTATATCTCACATATAGCTAATCTAGTTTTATATAATATGCTATAGCTATTTAACACTTACAGTTTTAGGGATTATTTGTTTAATTATTACATTATACTATTTCTACTTTTGTAAAATTTATCCAAATCCCAGTACCTATCTTTTTGACTTCTTCTCTTTATCTTTCTATTATTTAATTTAAAATTTGACAGATTTTTCAAACTTCTAATTTAAATAGTCTGATGTGGTATATTATAGTATCTTTTTCTTTTAGCAATTTCAGTAGCCTGGTTGGTCATATACTTCTTTATATATCTTTCTATCTGATTACATCTGCCTATTTCTTATTGGGGTTTTCTAAGCTTTCATCAGTCTGACAATACTGTTAAAGATTTGAGCTATTGCTTTATTTAAAAATTTCTAAGTAGGCTTTTGTCTTCTCAGTTTCTTGATCTTCTACATTTAATGGTCTTATTATAGGTTTGCACCAAAGTCTTATACAATACCAGTTATTAACATTCCTTTATATATATATAATGTTACATTTTATATAAATGCCCTGAGCTTTTAATAATGAATAGAATTTAATTGGTTGTATCTAAAATTATAGATACCTAAATTCAACTAATTGATAAGAGACAGTTTTTTATAATACAAGTTAATTTCTAAATTTTATTATAAATAGGATTTAAATCTTAAACCTGCTACTTGGAGAATGACAACCCAATCACTACACTAAAATCATCATTCTTTTTAAAAAAATATATTATAATTTTTATAAATTAATATTAGTATATAGCAAAAAATCTTGCAATTTATAATCCAAAAAACATCACAGTAAGTAATGTACTTTTTTTTATAGACAAGTACTTGAAGCACTCAAAAGAGCAGAAATCTTTTCAGTAACAAGAAGTATGATAAAAGAATGAATAGGTAAGCTTTTAGCAGTAGATTAAAACCAAAATCATTTAATTACTTATTGAATATGAAGAGTGAAAAAATACTAAAAGAGGAAGCAAAAATAGAAGAAATAGAAAGAGGTGAAAATACTAAGAACATAGATATAGTTTATATTGAAAAAAAAGAGACAACAATATGAAATTAATAGCAATGAAGAAGCCAACATAAACTTAAATATAGTTATTAGCCAAATGCAAGATCTCAGCATATCAACATTATCATATTGAGAATTAGTAAAATATCTAAACAAAGGAATTTAAAAATTAGTAATAATAGCAAATATAAACAAAAATAATACAAAAAAGAAGAAAGCTAAAAAGAGCCAAAAGAGTGCATCAGATTTTTCATAGCAAACAGAAAGAGGAAAAATAGTAGATCAAAATCAAAAGAATATAAAGTCAATAACTGAAGAAAATAATGAAACATCAATACTTGTAGACACAATAGAATATAGCCAATAGTCTTTAACAAATCATATATGTAACAAAAACAGATTATTCAAAGCAAACATGCTAACATATGCAATACTAGGTACAAATAAAGAAGAAAGATTAAAATATATACAATAGATTCTATATAACAATTATTATATTAAGATAATTAAAGAAGTTTTTAAAAATAGAAACAGCTGGATTAAGGTAAATTTTGACTATAAATTTAGTAGAGATGCAGCAATAAATAGAATCAAAGAAAAGAAGAAAAACTGGCTAAAACTTATTTCAGAAAAAACAAAAAGCCAAAAAAAAAGAAACTGAGCTGCCAAACAATAAACAACAGTAAAAAAGACAAGAATAAACCCAAAGAATACAAGAAATTCAGTGAAAAAAAAGATAATAGAGACATGTACCTAATAGAAGATAAATCAGAATCATATATATACCTAACAATATAGGATCTATTAGCAAACATCAATGCAGAAAAAATAGAATACATGTATAGAAATCTTAAAGAAACTCAAATAAAATGCATTAAAAGATCTAAATATAAAGCTTTAGCTGTAGTTAGAGCAAAAAATATAAGAGAAGAAAACATATTATGGTTCTTACCAATCAGTATATATAGGTTGGCAAGAATAACCATAGGTGAGAAAGACTTCAACCAATGCAATTTATAAAACTGATTCATAGCAAAAAGATTAGAACTTTCAAGTAATGTATTAGAAATATTATTATTACGATGCTTGAAGAAAAGAAAAGCAAAATTAGTATATATTTTATTTAACAGAAATGTAAATCAGAGAAGATCAGCAACAATAATATTCACAACAAAAGAAGAAATAAGTGCAGCACAAACAAAGCCAATAAGATTTAACAATTACCTATTATTTTGGTCAAACTATGTTGAAAAAAAAGAAAAGAGTAAAAGAAAAAATGATACTACAAGTTATAAAAGAATAGATTATAATAGTGAAAGTTTTGACAAAAAAATATACAAAAATAATCAAAGAAAAGAAAGTAAACAAAGAGACAACAAGAACAGAAATGAGGACAAAAACAGAAAGCATTATAAAGAAAACTTAATAAGCAAAAATCAGAAGCAAGAGAAAATAAAAAAAGAAAAGAAAACCCACATTGAAGATATCTTAGGATGAATACTAAAAAGATTAGAAAGACTAGAAAAAGATAGAAAGAAGAATAGAATAAACCAACCTAAACACTTCTAAGAGTGCTACAATTGAACTAATGAATATAGATAAGGAAATTAAAAGATTTTTGCAAAATGAAAGAAAGGTTTTTGAAGAGAAAAGAAAAATTAGATTTTCTTATAAAGAAGAAGAAAGGTACAGGGCAGAAAAAGAAGAAGTTAAAAGTATACGAACAAAACAAAAACTATTAAAAAAGAAATAGAAAAAAAGAAAAAAAGAAATAAAGCTAGCATGCTATAACATCAATGAACTTAAGACCAAAGGTTGAAAATTGAAGAATCTGCTTGGCTACGCAGAAGAAAAGGAAATTGCAATATTAGAAATTATAGAAACAAACATTACTAAAAGAGAAGAAAGGTTTTTAACATATGCAGCAAGCAAGAACTATATAAAGTACTGAACAAACATAACAGAAGATAAGAAAAAAGAATCAGTGATAGGAATACTAATAGAAGAACAATAAAAAAAGCATGTAGGTGCAGTCAAGAAAATAAGTGAATATATAATAAAGATT